TATGGGAACAAACTGGATAACCTAGATGAAATGAACAAATTCTTAGAAGCACACAGCCTACCTAAACAGACTCAAGATGAAATGGAAAGCCTCAACAGACCCATAAGAAATGAAGAAATCAAATCAGTCAGCAGAAACCTCCCAACAAAAAAAAGTCGTGGACCCAATGGCTTCACTTGGTAATTCTACCTAACACTTAAAGAATAATTGACTCCAATACTGTTTAAACTTTCCAAAAGATAGAGCAGGAAGGAGTACTCTCTTAATTCATTCTATGAAGCAAACATAACCCTGATACCGAAACTAGACAAAGACACCACAAGAAAAGAAAACTACAGGCCAGTATCTCTTATAAATAAAGATGCACAAATCCTCAACAAAATTCTAGCAAACAGAATCCAACAGCATACTAAAAGAGTCATACACCATGACCAAGTGGGATTTATTCCAGGAATGCAGGGATGGTTCAACATTAGAAAATCAATCACTGTAGTAAACACCACATGAATAGAACAAAGGAAAAGAACCACATGATCATCTCTATGGATAAAGAAAAAACATTTGAAAAAATCCAATACCCTTTCTTGATGAAACCCTAAAAAAAATTGGAATACAAGGGAAGTTCCTCAGTATGATTCAGGGTATACACCTATTCCTCAGTTATCAACTGTCTCTTCTAACATTTAATATTTATGACAGTAATAAAAAATCTACTCCCCTGACTATTTTATGCGTTAGCGACGTAGGTCTGACAGTAATGAATGCTGAGGTGCAAATTGAGAGTAATGCTGGCTATGATGGTTAAGGTTAGGTGTCTACTTGGCTGGGCTACGTTTCTCAGTGGTTTGGCAGTTATGTAATGGGGTAGTCATCCTCCGTTTTGTGATCTAATGTGGTCACTCTCCATTTTTGCATAACGACCTGGTCTTTGGAACATAACCATGTTGATAAGTGAGGAGCAGGTGTATATGAAAAGCCAATGGACAACATTATACTTAATGGAGAAAGACTGAGAGCTTTCTGCTTGAAATTGGGAACAAGACAAGGGTGCCCACTTTCATTGCTTCTATTCAATATTGTATTTGAAGTCCTAGCAAGAGTATTAAGACAAGAAAAATAAATAAAAGGTATCCAGATTGGAAAAGAAGTAAAATTAACACTATTCGTGAATGATATGATCCTTTATATAGAGGATCCCAAAGAATCCACAAGGAAACTTCTAGAGCTAGTAGAGGAATTTAGCAAAGTTGCAGGGTACAAGGTCAACAAACAAAAATCGGTTGGGTTTCTATCCACTAACAATGAGAAATCTGAAAGGGAATTAGGGAAACAATTCTCATTTACAATATCATCTAAGAAAATAAAATACCTAGGAATAAATTTAACCAGAGATATGAAGGACTTATACAGTAAAAACTATAAAACATTGACGAAAGAGATTAAAGAAGACTTAAATAAATGGAAAGATGTTCCATGTTCATGGACTGGAAGACTTAATATTGTTAAGATGTCAATACTACCCAAAGCAATCTATAGATTGAATGCAGTCCCTATCAAAATTCCATCAGCCTTCTTTACAGAAGTAGAAATACCAATCCTCAACTTTATATGGAATGGCAAGAGGCTCTGAATAACTAAAGCAATGTTGAAAGAGAAGAACAAAGTATGAGGACTCACAGTTCCTGATTTTAGAACATGCTATACAGCTACAGGAATCAAAACAACCTGGTAGTGGTATAATACAATAGATACATAGACCCATGGAGTAGAATTGAGAGTCCAGAAATAAACCCACACATCTGTGGTCAGTTGATTTTTGACAAGGATGCTAGTCCATTTGATGGGGAAAGAAGACTCTTCAGTTGATGGTGCTTTGAGTATTATGCTCTTTTAAGAACTATCTACATAGGATCACATTGACAACAGCAACTGGAAAGATTAGATAAGAATCTTAGGGGGTAGTGAATTTATGATAATTAGGAAGGAACAACTCAGAAAAGGAAGGTGAGAATGGTTGCACAACTCAAAGACTATCATGAGTATCACTAAATAGTATGCATAAAAACTGTTGAATTGGTGTATGTTTTGCTTTGTATATTCTCAACAAAAACAAAATAAATGAAAAAAATACATATCCTCTGAACTCAAACCTGTTGCCATCAAGTCAATTCCAACTCATAGTGACCCTATAGGACAGAGTAGAACTGCCCCATAGGGTTTCCAAGGAGCGCCTGGTGGATTCAAACTGCCGACCTTTTGGTTAGTAGCTGAGCTCTTAACCACTGTGCCACCAGGGCTCCTTATCCTCTGAAGTCTCCTTTAAACAGATATACAACAGAATGAAATGCTGCCGGGTCCTGCACCATCCTCACAGTCATTGCTATGTTTGAGCTCATTGTTGCCAACTACTGTGTCAATCCATCTCATTGAGGGTCTTCCTCTTTTTTTTTTTTTCTGACCCTCTACTCTTGCCAAGCATGATACCTTTTTCCCTCCTGATAACATGTCGAAAGTACATGAGACAAAGTCTCACCATCCTCCCTTCTAAGGAGCATTCTGGGCCGTACTTCTTCCAAGACAGATTAGTTCCTTCTTTTGGCAGTCCATGCTGTATTCAGTATTCTTCAACAGTACCATAATTCAAGTGCATCAGTCCTGCGTTTGCCTTCCTAATTCATTTTCCATGTTTCTTAATGAAAAAATAGTTTAGCTTAATTAGTAAAGAATGTCTGCCTTGAGCATTGTGCTCTTTTAATATCTATCTCTATGGGATCAAATTGACAACAGCAACTTGAAAGATTGGATAGGAACCTTAGGGGGCAGTGAATATATGTTAATGGGGAAGGAACAACTCAGAAAAAGTGAGAATGGTTGCACAACTCGAAGAATGTAATTAGTGTCACTGAATTGTACATGTATTGGTGTATGTTCTGCTGTGTTTAGTCTCAACAACAACAACAAAAATAATTTAAAAAATCTAGACAGGTTCCTTATTAAGAAAAGGTGCCATATATAAAGACTTCTTTGGTTCCTTGTTTGGTTTATACAGAATTCTTTTAGCAAAAAAGCTACCTGGGATCTTTCCCTTTCAACGTTACTGCCAATTTTCTTGCTATTAGAATTTTTTTTTATGTATAAGAAAATGTGCCATTTTAACCGTTTTTTTAAATGTACAGTTCAGTGGCATTAATTACATTTATAATGTTAGGCAACCATCACGACTATCTATTTCCAAAACTTTTTCATCAGACAAATTCAGATTAAGCAGCCCTTCCTCTCCTCCCCATAGCCCCTGCTATCCTCTATTTCACTTTCTGTCTCTATGAATTTTCCTGTTGTACCTATTTTGCATAAGCTGTTTTATACAATATCTGGCCTTTTATGATGGCTTTTGTCACTTAGCAAATGTTTTCAAGGTTCATCCATATTATAGCTTGTATTAGAATTTCGTTCCTTTTTATAGCTGAATAATAATCCATTGTGTGTTTATATCACATTCTGTTTATCCATTTGTCTGTTAATGGACATTGCTGTTAGAATTTAATTGCAGAACAGCCCATTAGCTGGTGGGAGCTTTGAAGTTGCCAGTGTCTGCTCGTATAATGAAACAGCCCTGCTCTCCATAAGGTTCCTAGGCCTATCTCTGGATCTTCTCTTACTTTTTCCTCTTTCTTTAACTGCTGCTTTGGCCACAAAAGCAAATTCTACAGTTATCTTGCTCCTGATTTAATTCTGAATTAGCTGACATTTGCCTTCCCCAGGCTTAGAATCTGAACCCTGTCTTGTATTGAACCAGAAGAGGTTATTCAGGTTCAGTTTAGAGTTGAGTTTTTTTTTTTTTTTTTAATTGAAAAGACAGTTTTGTTTTTTTTTTAAATTGTACTTCAGGTGAAGGCTTACAGAACAAATAGTTTCT